TCAAATGGCATGGATCCTATTGACATACAGTGGGACATAAGATCCGGGTCAACCCACTAATTTACATGCTACCATTGAGCACAAAAAACATACTTCACAACATTGCATCAGAAGCCAAAACAACTCTGCTGACATTCCAAAAACATGGCCCAGCACCGCTAAGAGAGATTTGGACTGACAACAGAGATGAACAATAAAGCCCACAGACTAGGCTCTGGCTCCCTTCAATATTGCTCTCCATTGTTTACTTTCCTGATTTCTGTCACATTGGAGACATAATCAAAGCTAACCCAGGAAGATGCTGTCGCCAGAGACACAGTGGTGAGGGGACAAAGGACAAACAGCTTGCCAGCAGTGGTCAGACCCAGGTTTTTTCGGGCAATGGCAAGGGAGCCAAATGCCATTAGTGAGTTGACCCATGTTTTAAAAACCCACCTTAAAGGAATAGTACACCCAAAACATGATTAGCCTTCATTTTCTACTCACCCCCATGCTGAACAACACTCTGGAGTACTTTTTTTGATATCTCAAATGCATCTGGAGATCTGGGAGGCTTCTTGCTATAGGATTTCCTGAAAGCGCGCACCTGCGCGTTCACGACACTACAGAAGCCGGCAGACCAAACCAGATGAAAGTGCGCATTCAGCGTCTGCTCTGCCAATAATGCAAGCGTAGAAGAAGAAATGTGCTGTTTACCTGTGCAAAGAAAGAAACAACGAAAGAAAAATGTCTGAGTACTTCAGTGTTGAGAAAGAGCATGAGTTCTTTGCCGAGCTGAATGCGCACTTTCATCTGGTTTGGTCTGCCGTGGTTTCCGTAGCGTCGTGAACGCGCTTTCAGGAAATCCTATACACTACTGTTTATGCTCTAAAAACATTCTAAATGACTTCGCTTCGAGTAAATTCTGGATGCTACCCACTCAGGACACTTGGAATACATTGGACGAGCAGTATGGAGGAATATTGACACGTTTTTTGTGGACTTTTATGGACCTTTCTGCCTCGGGCGCTGGGCACCTCCATTATTTGAATGTCAGCAGACAGCAAGAAGCCTCCCAGATCTCCAAATGCATTTGAGATATCAAAAAAGTACTCCAGAGTGTTGTTCAGCATGGGGGTGAGTAGAAAATGAAGGCTAATCATGTTTTGGGTGTACTATTCCTTTAAACTTAATTTTAGTGGGAAAGAGGCATTAGATGGGTAATTATTGACTATGATAACAATGACAGGTCACAATCACACAGTAGGCAAGTGCAACCCTAATCCAAACTTTTTGCCCAACTTTTTCATGGATCTAAAGAGCCTAGATGTGACATTTTCACCCCCAAAGTATCTCATTTATGTAATTTGATTTATTTCCATATGTGTTACTAAAACAAATAAATATCAGATCTTTAAAAACATACCATTTATAAAGCATCAGCAGGCTTAAAGGTCACATTTCATCAGAATTTTAGATCACTGTCCCGGCACCCCGCTAACCTTCACACAAGTAGCAGTAGCAGTCACCACTTGCTTCAATATAGGATGTTATTAGAATTTTTTTCTCACTTTTCATCATCATGCTGTAATGTGATCATGATAATGTTGATTCCCATTGCTCAAGAGATTGATAATAACTCAAAAACACCCGCCTCCACCATTATATTTTCTTTTTTTTTTAAAGCTTTATTAAACATTTCTAGTAACCTTTTCAACCAGTAGTGCTTTTTTGTTTGACAATCTCTAAAATCTGCTTCTGCACTTGCAGGTTTCTCACCAAACATTCATACATAAATGTGTGTGAATTAGTAGCATAAATGAACAAATACATAAGATTGTGCTTCGGGAAGAAATTGGAAGTGAATCAAGACCTGCTGGGTAAACATATTGTTAAGCAGAGCTTTAATCTTGTTCCTTCCTTGTGAACCTATGCAGACTAAATAGACTGTGGAAACAGACTGTGAAAGCACTAAAAAATATCTAGAATGCTTATTGGCATGGAATTCAAGACAATGGCTCACCTAAAGTGGGCTCAGTTGAAAAACTGATCTAATAATAAAATTAACCTTAGGGCATAATCTGAGTGGTGAAAAGCTCCGCCATAGCTTTTTGTGTGTATTGATCTTTTCTTTTTTTATAGGTTTTTGAAAATCATGATGGTATTTTAATGCGATCACAGCAGAAGACCTGCGAAGAACACACTGCCCATTACCACCTTGGTGGCAATGACTACAAAGAGGAGGCTGAGCATGGAAATATTTCATCAACTGATGACATCTATTGCAGCAAGTTATTTTAGAAAGCTGAAAAGAGATGAAGAATGAGGCAAAAAATGGGTCATTCACAGTTTTTTAAAATCTTTTAGTGAGCTATACAATTTGAGCTGATAATAGAACTAGCTTTTAGATAGTTAATTTGCTCTGTGATCAGTCATTTATATAGATGATTTGTAATTTTATATACCGATTAATAAATCTGAAAACCTTAGCATACTGATTGATATTTACTTTCAATTGCATTTTCTTTTTTATGGGCCAAGTAAATAATTAATTAAATAACTCAATTTCTTCTTATTTCTGCAAAACAGGATGTCTTTAATTTCCTAACCAATTAAATAAAAATTAATGGCAATCCATTGCATTACTAGACCTAGTTAAGGGGGGGCTTAAACCCCTCTAAAATGTTCATAAGCACCTCCAAATAATAGATGGCTATTAATTCAATCTTATTATCTATATTTATTTTTTCTTACAAAAAACTGTACACAAATACAATGTATTGTCATCAGAATGAGTATATACATAAACAAATGGACTGTTTGTTGACGTTTTGTCTTATTTTGTAAGAATTAAAGCACTTCATTACTTGTTGTGCTGAAAGCTTTTCTTGAGCTATCAGCCTGCTTTTATTATCTTTCTGCCCACATGAACACTTCTGTTCTTACACATGCAACTTTTAGTCACGAACATACTCAGGGCTACAGTGCCCCCTTGTGGATGTCACAATACACCTATCATTATTCAAATAGTTTATTTTCAGATTCCCTTAACTTTATATTGAGAGCTAGGAGCTCCATTGGTGAGTTTATTCCTCTTGTTCATGTAGAGTATGCTCACATCATTTAAATTCAGTCCATCATACTTTCAGTGAGTGGCACACAGCCAAGCTGACTGCCGAAGCATGACAATTCAATGGCTGAATACATCAAATATAATAGCAAACCTAATACAGAAAAATGTAGATCTGAGCTCCAGCTGCTATCCCTTCAAATTTTATGGGGTCAACTTTAAGAAAGAACAATATCCAGCCTAGGAAAGGAACTCTGGACTGCTGTGCTGAGTTTATAGTAATATTTAGCCAGTTTCCAAAGTCTTGTGTTGCTGGTGGATGCAGTAGTCTTGGCTAAGGCATAGATAAAACACCTTCCTTTAGTTTTCAAACAGAGAAACCACCAAAAAGATCTGTTTGGGTGCTAGCTTTACAAAGGATTGGCGAAAATAGCAAAACCTGGAGCCCAAAGTCAAAGTGGACCTATGTGTGTAGTAGGCATTGGCATTTTATTACTAATTCTAAAAGTTAGAAGATGAGAAAGTATCATGAATTAACCACTGTTTTAGTTACTGAGGCAGTGGAGACAAACTTTTTTGAAACAAATGGAAGATTGAGAAAGTAATGTAGATAAAGGAGGAAGTGGGGAGTGCTCTTAAAAGGTTTGTGATTGGCTTTTCAAAAAGCGTAGCCCTAGAGAGACACCAGGAAGTTGATGTCTTATTTCCCCCGCTCCCATGCACTGTCTGCCTACTTGCTTTGTTGTTCTCATGTTGTGCTCCTTTCATTTGCCACGGTTAGCCTATAGCCTAACCTCATTCAGCCATAACTCCTGCCTCCTCTGTTTCCTTGGCAGGCCTTGTCTGCTGTCCTCCTACTGGCTAAACCGTAGCCTCTCCCCTGCCTTCATCACTTTTGAGGTTGTTTCAAAGCCACAAACTAGGATGCACTGCATTAGCCATATGGAGAGGACATCAATTCAATGACTGAGTGTGTGACTGACTTCATAAACTTCTATGTAGATAACACCATCCCTACCAAAACAGTAAAATGCAAATAATATACCATGGATCACTAGTTTTCTGAAGGAACCACTTAACAAGAAAAAAAAGCAAGCCTTAGAAAGGGAGACAGGGAATTACTGAGGAATATACAGAAGCAAATCATTTATCTTCTAAGGCTGCCATTGTTTCTCCTACATCTATGAGTTTAATGTCAGCCAATTTAGAAGATGGTGCTGCTCTCTTAGCATTTCAGCTATCTATTTCTAGAAGTCAAGAGACAACTTGAAAGACTGGTGAAGATTCTTAGTCATCCAGCTGATAGTCATTCCAAAACAGTGAAAAAACAAACCACTGGACTTTGTTTTCCAAGTTTGAAGACGTTTCACATCCCATCCAGGAATGCTTTCTTGATGGGAAGTGCATGTAACGTCTTCAAACTTGAAAAACAAAGTCCTGTGGTTTGTTTTTTTTTTACTTTTTTGGATCTGGAAAGAATTGTAATAATTCATCATGTCCTGATGGTGTCAGCCCCAGAGTCCTGAAGGCCTGTGCAGAGCAGCTTTGTGGGATTATACAGCACATCTTTGAACCTAGCCTGACCCAGGAAACGGTTCCAGTGATGTGGAAGACCTCCTGCCTTGTTCCAGTACGAAAATAAAACTCAGCCAACAGTCTTCAGTGACAATACACTGGAACAAACAATCTAGAAATAAGTAAAAATTTCTTAAATTAAGTGTCTTTACCATTAATTTGAGTAGGTAAATGAGATAGTTTGCCAATGGAATCAGTATTTTTACTCTTAAAATAAGATAATTAGATAATATTCACTTGAAATAAGACAATGCAATTGTGTTTTCTTATTTCAAATTTAAATTGTCTTGTTCCACTGGCAGGATGTCTCTTTTATCTCCACGATTCAAGGACAAATGCACTTATTTTAAGAAAAAATTACTTTGATTATTTAGATTTTTTTCAGTGTAGACATTTTGTCTGACATATCACATCATGAAGTTCCTAGAGAGACTTCTGTTGGACATTCATCCTTCAAAACAGCTGCTTTCCAGTGTCTACAATGATGCTGACATTGTACCACAATGTGCAATCAAAGTACATTGAGGCACTGAAATCTCCTCTCAAGATAAATTAGTTTTAATACCTTCATTTTAGGTTTGGGCCATGTTGGAAAACATTGTGGCCTATTTCCACAGAGAGACAATCTAAATCACCAAAACATCCCTATCATTCCTAGTGTTGTTCCAAACGTAAGTCTTTTGGATTTCCTAGCAGCAAATATATCCATGTATTCATAATACATAGATTTCATTTTTCATTCTGCAATTTTGCACGCTGTCCAGCAGATGATGCCCCAGGCAACTGCCTGCGATGCCTGTCAACACAGCCGGCTCTGGAGCTTTTACTTTTCCTTTGGGATTAATTGGGATTAATCCAGTGTTTTTTTAAATTAAATAGCATTATCCTGTTAAAAAGTAACCTGAAAATCTTAAAATGACAGAACAAAGCTACTACCGCCCACCCTACTTTCCACACCGACACATATAAACCCCAACAGACAACTTTTTCATTCAGTCATATAAATTTAAGGCTACATTACCTTTTCTATCATAAAAACACCAACCTAAATGGTAAGCAGCTATGTTCAATAAAAGATTACTGAGAACATTTAGAACAGACATTAAAAAGACTTTTATGGCCTGTTGCTACGTGCTACACGTTTTGGATTTCAAAATAGACATTGTGGTTTCCTCAGACCCTTTCACGCAGCAAAGCAATTACTTCTGGCTTAGTTCTACTGCTGAAGAACATAAAGATGTGGAGGACTAAGATCCTGATGTTCATCTTGTGGGGTAAGTTGCTTTATTTTGCATAAACTGAAGGTTATAAATCAATGATAGAATATGACACATCTGATGTTTGTTTGTACATGATGCTGTACTAGTATACCATCATCTCGGCATATCCTTTTTATACACGGAAATTTTCTAATTGTCTTTAAGAAATGCATTTTACATGTATTTGAAGGTCTACTTTTTCACATAGTCCCTTTGTTCAACAAGGAAAATATACCAGGTAAATTTAGGTTTTCTTCTGTTTTCTGCAGTTCTGAGCTGTTTGACCACTGTTCCAGGTTTGATCCATCACTTTGGATATGAGGGACGAGATGAATACATCCAGTGTTCATACCCTTTGGGATATGAGGGTTATGAAAAGTACCTCTGTAAGAATAACTGTGGTAACAATGATGTTCTTATTAGTACATTACAAAAGAATACAACAAAATATCGCACCTATGATGAGAAAAGAAAAAGGGTTTTCATAGCAATCATCTCTAAGCTTCATCTTAATGATGCTGGTAAATTCTGGTGTGGAGTGACTAGACCAGGAACAGATATCTACACTGAAGTAAAGCTGCATGTAACCCAAGGTAAGGTAAAATTAGCCCTTCCTAAATAATTTGCCATCATTAAACCAAAGCTACTCTTAGGAGTTATTCTTCAGTATTTCATTCTAAAGACCAATTTTATTTAAATAACTAGACTACAGTTGGAGTTTAGGTCTAACAAATAAAGTCTAATCAGCACATATTTAATTTACAGTTTATCAAAATGAGAACGTATTCAAATATAAGTTCAGTAGAATATAAACATGTTAGTTAGCATTTTAAAATTAAATATAAATTATATTACAATCTATCAACTAATTTTAGATGTTCTTTTCATATAAAAAAATTCCCGCTAATGTAAATATTTATCCTCATAGACAGGTGCTGTCAAACTGTGAGTAAAACCCAAAGTATTGAAGAAGGTTCGGTGACCATCAGTTGTCCCTATGACTCTCAGTCCGCCAACAACCTGAAGTACCTCTGCAGAGGAAACCGGCCCTCCGTATGTCTAAAGCAGGCAGTTATCACCTCTAACAGCCCACAAGAAGGACGATTCAGACTCACTGATGACAGGAAATCAAGAATATTCACAGTGACTATTTCCAGACTGACCCTGAAGGATTCAGGGTTATATCTCTGTGGAGTGAAGAGAACCTCAGATTATGACCTTTTTTCTGCTGTTGAATTGGATGTCAAAGGTAAACCGACACTAGGTGATTACAGATTTTTTTTTTTTTTAATCACTTGAAAAAATTATGCAAGTTTGTGAAAAGTGAATATTTTTGACAGATAAGTAAATTGATTAAATACTTTTAAACTTATCTTTAATATGTTCTCATCCTGAGTTAATATTGAGTAGATCCTGAGGATGACAACAGGATCTTGTTTACTTATTAGCTGACTTCTGATGGCAATTGGCTACACTTCGTTTTATTTTAGGGTATCAAATTTTGTCTGATTAAATACAAAGCACCTGCTACTATTGTAAGACTTCTATTTATTCTTTCACTGCACAATTATAGCAGATCAAATCTTGCTAAAATACAGTCTTACTTTATATGACAACATAAAAGCTTTTTTAAATAAAAACATTATATTTTTACAAAACATCAAGTAATAGCTTCCCCTATTAAGAACTGCTTTTTTTTATCATCATGAATTTTTGCAAAATCGCAAACATTTTATGCCCTTGGCTTTGAAAGGTGCTGAGATGTTTGAATATGCAATACCCACCTTAATAAAAAAAAAACACAGCATAGTGTGAAAAAAAAAAAAAAAAAAGGAGAAAAAAAACACTACTAACAGTAATTCTCTTTGACAGTTTATCAGCACAGGACCACTACAGTGGAAACAGACTTAACAACTTGGTTAAATGTTTCTGAAAAAAAAATTCAAGGTATATATACTGTATATATATATACATATTTTCTGTCTGTCTGTTTATCCGATTAAGAATGACCACATTTACAAAAAACATTTGAAAAATCTGACTCAGATACTTTACAAAGCTTTAACTTTGATATTACTATTTCTTAAAGCAGTGCTACAAGGTGCTGTGAATTAGGAAGTGACTTTGCTGTCTGGTTGTTCATTTTTTTTTTTCTTTTATTGAACGTGGCTTTCAGATGATGTTCTTTATCCATTGTGGGCTCTATTTCCGATTCTGCTGCTGATATTAATAACTGTCTTGGTGAAAGTTCGCAAGAACCATTGTCACATGATTAAAGGTGAGTTAAATATGTCTCCGACATAAGCAAAGACATGTCTGCTAACAAGTGCTTGTTTTTCTGCACCTTGTTTTTCAGAAACCAAGGTCATCATAAACACTCACAAACTGGAAGAAGCGGATGAACAGGAAGAGATGAATAGCAATGAGGTAGGGGCACATGTAAAAATCTGAAATCCACACGCTACAAAACATATAAATCTAAATAATAATTTTCTTAAAATAAGTGCATTTTTTATTGACTTGAGGAGGTAAGTGAGACCCTTTTCCAATGGAACAAGACCATATACATTTAAAATGAGAAAAAAATTATTGCATTGTCTTTTTTCAAGTGCATAATATCTAATCATCTTATTTTAAAAGTAAAAATGCTAATTCCATTGGCAAACCATCTTATTTACCTACTCAAGGGTAAATACACTTAATCTAAGCTTTTTTTTTACTTTTCCTAGATAGTCATTCCGTAAAAATTCAAAAAAAAATATCCACTGGACTTGGTTTTCAAGATTTGAAGACGTTTCGCCACCTCTCCAGGAAGCTTTCTCAATTCAAATGTCTGGATCAGCAGTGAGTTTGAGTCTTATATAGACAACGCCTTGTATCGCTTGGAAACATGCAAATGGTAACCGATGAATGGGTCGTTTAGTTTCATCGTTAGCCTGTAATATCTGAACCTGTCTATGATTCTAGGGGTCGTTTAAGGGGGGATTGCCATTAAGGGGGGGATTGTCTCCTGTAATACCTGAAACCTGTCTATGATTGTTAAGGGTTGGTCGTTAAGGAGGTATTGTTCACCGGCTGGAGCGGGTAGGTCCCTCGTTCCTCTGTGATGGGGTGGGGGGTTTGGTGATATCTGGAAGGGATCATGTCTATGATTTAATTGTATGTTTTTGGAAGCTGGAATCTGAGTCCACCACCTCTGTTTAAAGTTGGTTTTTCTCTCTTAACATAGATGGCTTCCTTCACGCCCCTCTCAAACCACCTATTTTCTTTATCTAGAATATGGACATTCTGGTCTTCAAAAGAATGTCTTTTGTCCACAAGGTGTAGGTGTACTGCGGAGTCTTGTCCAGAGGCGGCCGCTCTTCTGTGTTGGGCCATGCGTCTGTGGAGAGGTTGTTTTGTTTCGCCAATGTAAAGATCAGAGCATTCCTCGCTGCACTGAACAGCATATACCACTCCGCTCATATTCGGTCTGGGGGTTTTATCTTTAGGGTGCACTAGCCTCTGTTTAAGGGTTTGGTTTGGCTTGAAATGTACTGGGATCTTGTGTTTGGAGAAAATCCTCTTGAGCTTTTCAGACACTCCAGCAACATAAGGGATTGTGACGTTTTTGCGTTTAATTTTCCCATCGCTGTCTTCTGTCACGTGTCTTTTGGATTTCCTTGCTGATTTGATAAAAGCCCAGTTTGGATATCCACAGTTTCGGAGAGCATCTTTAATGTGTTTCTGTTCTTTTTGCTTCCCATCTGTTTTAGTAGGGACATGTTCTGCCCGGTGTTGTAAGGTCCTGATGACTGAGAGTTTGTGTTCCAGTGGGTGGTGTGAGTCAAAAAGAAGATACTGGTCTGTGTGAGTAGGTTTCCTATACACTTCAATGTTACACAAACTCTCAGTCATCAGGACCTTACAACACCGGGCAGAGGATTTTCTCCAAACACAAGATCCCAGTACATTTCAAGCCAAACCAAACCCTTAAACAGAGGCTAGTTCATCCTAAAGATAAAACCCCCAGACCGAATATGAGCGGAGTGGTATATGCTGTTCAGTGCAGCGAGGAATGCTCTGATCTTTACATTGGCGAAACAAAACAACCTCTCCACAGACGCATGGCCCAACACAGAAGAGCGGCCGCCTCTGGACAAGACTCCACAGTACACCTACACCTTGTGGACAAAGGACATTCTTTTGAAGACCAGAATGTCCATATTCTAGATAAAGAAAATAGGTGGTTTGAGAGGGGCGTTAAGGAAGCCATCTATGTTAAGAGAGAAAACCCAACTTTAAACAGAGGTGGTGGACTCAGATTCCAGCTTCCAAAAACCTACAATTCAATCATAGACATGATCCCTTCCAGATATCACCAAACCCCCCACCCCATCACAGAGGAACGAGGGACCTACCCGCTCCAGCAGGTGAAAAATACCTCCTTAACGACCAACCCTTAACAATCATAGACAGGTTTCAGGTATTACAGGAGACAACCCCCCCCTTAATGGCAATCCCCCCTTTAACGACCCCTAGAAATCATAGAAAGGTTCAGATATTACAGGCTAACGATGGAACTAAACGACCCATTCATCGGTTACCATTTGCATGTTTCCAAGCGATACAAGGCGTTGTCTATATAAGACTCAAACTCACTGCGGATCCAGACATTTGAATTGAGAAAGCTTCCTGGAGAGGTGGCGAAACGTCTTCAAATCTTGAAAACCAAGTCCAGTGGATATTTTTTTTGAATTTTTACGGAATGACTATGACCTGGATGACTGAGAACCTTCATCAGCACTTTTCCTAGATAGTTTTTTTTTTTTTTTTTTTACAAGTTATTGAAATTCCCAAATATTTTTTTTTTATTAATTGAATCGGAAACTACTAACCCTCTTCTTTTAGCAAAGCAAGAACATTTAAATTGAAATCTATAAAAATCATTGAATATTTGTATGCTTTTTTTAAACAGAAGGATCTGATTTAATAGACCCACCCCAAAAAGCTTTTTTACACTGACATGGCTCTTACAACTCATTCCTCAATTCCTCAATTTCTACCCTGTCAGTAAATTATGCATACACAAATGTGTTATACAAACTGAAGCTTTAATAATAATTCTCATTTATAGACTTACTAAAAACAAGCTTTTGTGTTTACAACATGTTTAATATTAGCAAGAAGCTTGAGAAGATGTTACAGCTGAGATGTGCTGAATTAAAACATGAAGCCAACTAAATATAAACCTAGATTTCACATTAAACTGAGCGAACATACCAAATCAGTCTGTCTTCGCTTTGTAATGATGTTTTAACTGTATGTTTACTTTTAGCTTTACGAAAACCATGAAGCTGTGGTTGTGTACGCACAGCAGTGGACCTTCAAACAGCGGAGCAACAGTTATCACTTTGATGACAAAGACGAAAATGAAGCAGATTGTGAAAGTATCACAGCACCTGAGGAAATCTACTGCAACGAGGCCTTTCATGCATTCCAAAGGAGATGAAGACCAGTGACCTACAAATGTTAAAACCCAATATACACAGCATTATATGAGGAAATATAACAATTCCTGGCTTTAAATCAGTCTCCAGGAACAGTTTATTGCCACTAAGATTATTTCTATTTAGTGAATTCCAGCAGGATAACCAAGACATTTTTTTTAAAGCTTTCTTAAAATTCTGAATTTTAATGGATATATTTAGCATTTGGTAGATTTACCTTTAAACTATATCTTTGATGTTTTTACCAAAAATTAGGTTGATTTTTGGCCTATTCCTCTTGACTTGTGTAAATGGGTCAAATGTGTTGAATCATTTTCTTGCAAACATATTCCCGCCTGTTGGACCAGTACCATTGGAATTTTATGAGAACAAGTTTAGCAGTATGATTAAGGTTTACGGTCTGTTTGGATAACTTTTTCAGGTTGCAGTTTTAACTTCTTGGCTGATCCCACAAGGGTTTCCACTGATTTTTTTGTTTTTACGATTTCATCTATTTTGCATCATGCATCTCTCCCTTCTGCGGCGTAACACCCACACCAGCTGATGCTGCCACATCCATCCTACAAAGCTTGGAAGGTTTTCTTTGGTTTGCAAACTTCCCCCTTTTTTATTTAAAGGCATCAGAGCTTATCACAGAATGCTTCAAATTTAACACCATAAGACCACAGGACATATCTCTAAAATAAGTTCTCTGTGCCAGACTGCATTTTCAAAAATTCAGTCTAAATTTCTTTGGTTGGAGTAAGAGTCTAAGCTTCTTTCTTGCATACAGTCTTTTAGAGCATGATGGTAGACAATAAAATTTATTATGGATAATGATGCTCTCTCACTAGTTTTAGCCATTTTCTTCACGTACTGTAGTGTTTTAAATTTTGTCCTTGGTTTATTAGATTTTCCTTTAAAAATGTTTTCATCCTCGAACAGATAATCTGTCTTATTCCTATAAAGGCATGAGGGCCAAACATTCCCATGCTGTACCTTCTTGCTTATAAGTGAGCAAAGGAGTGTGGCCCCTTAAGACTTCTGAACATTTTACCCATGGACAAACCAAATTTGTGGAAGTCCTCAAATTTCTACCATGATTTCCTTTGATGTTATCTAACTTTATGTAACCAAATGATGTAATGTCTTTAACAGTTAAGCTTATATAAAGCCAAAAGTGGACCTCCATTAGACTCAAATGCTCTATGTTAAATGTACAAAAGCTAACAAAAGCATTGTTTTAATAATCTACAACTTCTCAAGTTATGAAAACTTTTGACAGTGAATAACATAATAAAATCTGTAGTGAAATAAAAATTGCCTATAACGAGGTTCCTGCAGATCCTTAAAAAGTCTTACAAGGCATTACATTTTTCAATATAAAACTAAGGCTCTAATTGGTATTAAAATGTCTTCAATCAGTCTTAAAGTTGTTACCACGTCATATATAGGATTTAATTTTTAAATCCATATCAATCCATATCAAACATATCGGAAGTCACTGGCCGTGCACTCCAAACGGACAGATTACCCGCTACCAGACATAGGCAATGGATTTTCGATAATGACAGCAACCTGCCTTTGCGGTAAGGTCTGTAAGAACCTTAGGGGCCTGAGGATCCACCATGCCATGATGGGCTGCATAAAGAGGAAGCAAGTAGAGCAACGCACAGAGCCAGTGCCAAGCACTGAATCTGGGAAGACGGAGGAGGAGCAGGAACCTCCATGCTCGACATGCTACACCTAGCAAACCATCAGTACAGTGTCAGGTTATTTATATTGCCCCCCCCCCCTTTTAAACTGCTATAAAGATGCACTGAAGATTATAATTTACATTGTCAATGTAATTTTTGTTGTGATATTTAAAACATAAAACACAGCTGTATCTATGTACACATGAATAGAAAATAGATTTAGGATGGAGAACATATATTCCTATTAGGTTTCAATATAACTTTATTGAAGGACAGATTATTTTTATGCTGGCCCTGAGAGCTTATTCTTCATTCATCTGTGTGTGTAATGACAAAACATGTTTTTTAATGTGGCTGCTTAAGGCAGCTCATGAGAATGATCAAGATTTATAGATGTCTTTTAATTGTTGTGATTTAATCTGAATATACAAATCTAACTAAAATCTTTTAATATTGACACAGATTTTATTTAATTTACATATCATGTTAATCATCTAATTGCATTTAACTGATGTTAACCTCTGATAACTATGGTGTTTTCCTGTTTGCTGGTTGGTAAAGGTAAATTCTCAGCTCTGTGAGATTTCTGGCTTAGTTGTTTGGCCTTTTTGTTATTTACAGACACACAAAAGGCTCAATAAATGCTGGATTCGTCCTGTTTTTTCTTAAAAATTAAAAACAAATCAACAAAATAATTTTAAAAACTGCAATCATTCTCCGTTTCAGACAGCACCCAGCTGGGCAGCATCATTAATGATAATTCCCCTCTGACATTGGGGAAGAATAACTACGTAGTTGTACCCTGCAGATAGCAGTTTTATTTTACCCAACGGGTTAATAATCTATCATTAATTTGAAATATTCAATTAACAACCCTTTCTGAAAAAAAAGAGAGGGCGGAAAAACTGGTAATGGACGCCTTCTCTCTCTCCTCTTTCTCTTCCTTTTTCAAACCCAGACTTTGGGCCGCTGTATTTTTCAGCCACAGATGTTTTTACCACACTGCTGCTTATTTACACATTGCTCTTACTAATGTGTTAGTTTCCTTGTCATTATGTCAAAAGACGCGTGCGTAGCATTTAAGCCCCAGTACGAACGAACTGCCAATGACAGACGGCGAGACCTGACACGATGCCATGACATGAGGACCAAAAATGTATTGCAATTTCACAAGAAGGGGTTGTCAATATATTCATGCTTTGTTTCACTGTTTACTGCTAAAAATTGAGGGAGGACATGAGGATTATTTATTTTACTATTGATTTTCTTTTTATATTTGAAAAATATAGCGCTTCATAAATCCTTTTGGATTTATTAAGTGGCTATTGGGACAGACGCGGAGTGGGACCATGCGATGCTCAGAGAATGAGATCAACCAGAGCCTTAGTGCTACATACAGTGATAGCAGGAGGGAGGAAAACCTGCCTACCTTCAGTGAGCTACCCACACCTCCAATACCCTCTGTCCAATTTGACATCAAGGAACCCATGCTGGCAGAGGTCAGGAACATCACACAAGCTGCACGTCCCAGTGCAACCCAAGGCCCAAGTGGAGTGCCCTACAAAGTCTACAAAAAATGTGCGAGACTCCGGAGAGGCTCTAGAGACTTATTAGGGTAGTATGGAGCAGGGGGAAGGTAGCCCAACAATGGCGTACCTCAGAGGGTGTTTGGATACCCAAGGAGAACGCTAGTGACAACAAGCAGTTCTGCACCATCTCCCTACTCGGTGTGGAATGCAAAATCTTCTTTAAGATCCTTGCCAACAGGTTATCTGAGTATCTCCTGAGAAATTCCTACATTGACACCTAAGTGCAGAGGGGTTGAGTCCAAGGCATGCCAGGCTGTTTGGAACATACAGGAGTGATCACCCAGTTGATCAGGGAAAAAAACGAGCAGACCGGGAAGTCCTCTGGCAGTCCTCTGTCAAACTCAGAATTGAGTACAAAGTCTCCCTCCTTACCCACCAGTGCATTCATGGTGATACCCCACAGACCTCAACACCTAACCTCCGATCTACCTATCTGCTGAAACCACCTAGGACAAAGCTTCATACAATGGGAAATCAGGCTTTCTTTTCAGCAGTTCCCAGCCTGTGGAATGCTCTCCCTGGTCACCTGAGGACCCCACAGACTGTGAATGCTTTTAAATGTGGCATTAAACCCACCTTTTTAGGAGAGCTTTTAATTGAACCCCCCCCCAACCCCCACCCGCAAGTCCATCTAACCTTTATACCTGTGGCCTTGCAGAAGTGCCAACATACCCACTGTGCCCAGCTCATGGTTCCCTGGAGCACATGCTGAGCTGCTGCCCTAAAGTGCTGGGAGAGAGACGATACATGTGGCGCCATAACCAGGTGTTAAAGGCAGTAGCAGACACCATCTGCACGTGAATCCATGAGTTAAAGCAACGGTCTCCTTTGAGGCACAATATCTTCTTTGTCAGGGCAGGAGAGAAACCTGAGAGAGCAGGTAAAGGCACAACTGGACTGCTAGCCATGGCTCAGGTTTGGCAGTTGCATGTGGACCTTGGAAGTCAGTTACAGTTCCCAGAGCACAATCCAAGGACGACACTAAGGCCAGATCTGGTCGTAACATTTGACTCCACAAAGCAAGTTCTGTTACTGGAGCTTACAGTCCCCTGGAAAGACAGAATGGAGGAGGCTCATAAAAGGAAGAAAGCTAAATATCTTGAGCAGATTGAGGCATGCAGAGGCTGGATGGAGGGCCCGCTGTGAGCCAATAGAAGTGGGCTGCAGAGACTTCCTTAGTCAAACTGTGCATCGGGCATTCAGGCTCCTTGGCATCAGAGGGTTGCTTCAGAGAAGAGCCACCAGAAACATCAGTGAGACCTTGAAAGAGCCTCAAGGTGGCTGTGGATTAGTGCTGCTTGAACACAAACTGGGGCCTGATCAACCCCAGTTGGGTCACCCAGAAGAGGGTGTCTGAAGATCAAAGACTCAAAACACCCTATGACACTGGTTGCTTCACTGATGATGTGTTCAAGCTGCAATGGCGAGGTGTTTCAAAATCTATCGTGGCTCCACAATAGAGCAGTGGGTAACAGTGCCTTGCAGCAATTAGGTTCTGGGTTTGATTCATGGCCTGGGGTCTTTCTGTATGGAGCTTGCATGTTCTCCGCGTGCATGCGTGGGTTCTCTCAGCGTACTCTGGCCTCCTCCCACTGTCCAAAAATGTGACTGTTAGGTTTATTGGCTTCTCTAAGTTCTCCTTAGGTGTGTGTCCTTGAATGTTTTTTGTCTCTGTGTTCTCCTGATGTACTGGCGTCCTCTCCAGGGTGTACCCTGCCTCTCTTCCATTGACACCTGGAGATAGGCACCAGCACCCCTCACGACCCCAGCAGGGATAATCATGATGGAAAATGGATGGATGGATAGATCAAACATATCAAATAATTGACTATATATATATTTTTTTACACTTACTGAACAGCTAGCTGTAACCGTTATTGGTTCCGTCCCGATAGACGAACTAATAAAAACCATGTTGCAGCCGGACCTTGGGGTGAGTTGAATAGCTGCTGCTCAGAGCAAAGACACACTTGGGCAAGTTGTTTGTAAAAAACATTTTTTTGCATGGTACAAAATGGCAAGTCAGGTAGATGTAGATGAGGAAGGCTGAACAACAGTTTCAAATGGGAAAGAGAGAGATAGAGCAGGTAAAAGTGGGGAGAGGCTGTTTTAAAGCAGGCCAACTCTGTTATGGAAACTCCTCTAGAATCTCGGGAGATTATTTCACAAAGATAAATTCTTCATAAAGTAAGCAAAAGTATGGACAACACTGAACATTCTCTTCAGAAGATTTTTAAACAAGATTTTGTAACCGGTTTCTCCAGATCCAGTGCAAGACAGACCGATAAAGAAGATCCTTCCTGTCCACAGCTATTAACCCTACAACACCTTATGAGTTACTGCAACATTTAATTTAGGCACAACCAGTGTTCTCTGAAACGTTGATATTTTTTGTGAATAGTGACCTGAAAGGATCTGTTATGAAGTAATGAGCATAACGAGAGCAACATTTAGTCTGAGAATAATAAGCGGCACACTAAGCTCACGTTAGCTTTCAATTGATAACACTTTTCAATGGATAAAGTCAGGTTTTTAAACCACTTATTATGGCAAACAGCATGAAAGACCAGCATGTCTACTACTAGTACTACTGTGTGCAATTCAGACTAATCTACTGGTACTTCTGATGCTAGTTTTGCAGAGCACTTGACAGTGTGGTGGGAAGCAAAATCTGTCTCCTGTTAATTCCTTTTTACATTTATATGTATATAAATATATATACATATATGTGTGTATATAAATGTATATGACGGCCTACTGCAGAGGTCACGGATTAGCAGACCAGGGTCCAGATTTAGACCCACCTGCTGGCTAATCCGGACCCAAACTAATTTAAAGCATTTATACATTTCTGCATGTTTGCACCACTTCTTCTGTTTGTATGGTAAAGCCAGGCTGCACATGATACAAGTTACCCAATGAGCTGCTGTCAGTCAGGGTTACTGCTGCTGGCTACTTTTAGACACAGCAGGCAAACCTGTGGCAAGCCGGGCGATGGAAAAGAAGGAGAAAACGATGACAAAAAGAGAGTAGAGAATGTGTGGACTGCTGGGAGAAGCGCAATGAACTAGATAAATAAACATGAAACGGCGTGCTCAAAGATGACCCTGCACATTTTGAGTATGTTTTGCTCAACCTACTGCTGTGAAGCAGGATTCTCCACTATGAACATAATCAAAAATAAATATCTACCCAGGCTCAAAATGAGCAGCTTGATATGTGCTTGAGGATGGCTTTGTCGCCATTCAAACCCAGTTTTGAAAGCCTTGCATTGCAGCCTAAAGCCCACTGCTCTCATTAAGCCATAAAAAGAAAGAAAAAACGTTGTATTAAAAAAAAAAGTGAGGCAGGAAATTGTCTATATACCAAACTGAAAGACTGTTGTTCTCTACTTCAAAACCAATTTAAACTTTAATATGGAAAAACTTTCTATTTTTTATATTTTTTATTAAAAAATTCAATGTATAACATGGATGCATAAACACCCGGATTTTATTTCAGTGTTAAATGCTGTGTAAAGTAACTGATTATAATTAAAAATGTCTCCGGACCTCTACTGGTTGTTTGGGATTTTTTTGTTAAGACACCACTTATTTTTAATTGGTTACCCCTGGCTTACTGGTTAGGGCATAGAGCTTGGAATCCTGAGGTTCAGACTCCACTCCCACAGAATGCCACACTGGGTCCCTGAGCAACCACACTGCTCCCTGGGCACCGTACAATGGCAGCCCACAGTGGCATCTCTGCATTTACTGGGTTAAATGCAGAGAGGAAATTCTGTTGCTCTGTACTTGTGATAGTGTAAGGACAATAAACAAAAAAGTAAAAAAAATATATATAACATTTAGACTATTTCTCAGGAATTATTTCATAACATTATGTGTTATTTCCAAACTGTCTGTCTTTTTTGGGGGGGTAGAGACTAGTGCAGACCTTCACAGCCTTTCTGCAGGGTTAATTAGAGAGAGACAAATTCTGTTTTTTCAGAGTAGGACTGAATACCATTCCATAAGGTAAATGGTAAAATGGTAAATGACCTGTACTTATATATCGCTTTTTCAAGTCAGGAGACTTGACCAAAGCGCTTTACACTACATTCACCCATTCACACACAAACAGACACTCACACACTGATGGTGGCAAACTACATTGTAGCCACAGCTGCCCTGGGGCTCACTGACAGAAGCAAGGCTGCCGTACACTGGCGTCACCAGGCCCTCTGACCACCATCAGTAGACAATGCAGGTGAAGTGTCTTGCCCAAGGACACAATGACACTGAAAGGGCTGTATAATGTCTTGTTCTCATCTTGCTTTGCAAAGTAAAATAAAATGCTGACTGTAAATCTGTTTATTTACCTGGAGTGTATAGTTGAATACATTTTGAGTTTTATTAACTAACAAAGGCAAACTCGACCAGAAAAAAAGAAACGTTTCTATGCAAACTCTGCCATCTGGGACTTAACAGACAGGTCCGTACATCAGCCACTTCCACTTAAAATTTAAAGTGACAGAGTTAAAACATCCAAGCGATCTTGGGAGATATGTGCTGCTGAATGAGGAACGTAAGAAATAATTATTGATGGAGATGTTTTCAGCATAGCCTGAATGTACCTGTATGTTTCTGAAGTTTGGTGTAATTTGGCTAAATAAAGGCTTCACTGCACATACAGTAAACCTTCACTACATGAGGTCTTTTCTATTTCTTTCTATGTATTACAATCATACATTTAAAGAGTGAAATATTAGGTTCTATTGTGTCTTAATTTACCAAATGATCTTCAGCTAGTTTATTTATAGGTTTGTGAACTTGCTAATCTTTTGAAAAAGTGAACTATAAACATGAACTAGTTCATTTTCATCTGTGTAAAAACAAGACTGTAAAAACAATACAATGTTTTTCAGAATACGTAGCTGTAAATGGTCTAAACTACACGGTTACCACTTTGAGCAGGCAGTGAGGCTGATGTTAAGTGTTGTTTCAGTTCCTGAAATACACAACGAAGTACTTCAAGGTTTTGTTCAAGAAACAAAAATGTTTTTTTAATGTTTGATATGCTATCTGTATTAATCACTTTGTAGTTGAGAGGACAAGATGGAAGCCCAGAAAGGAAAACAAGCAAAAAAGGAACTGTACTTTCTCGGGCACAAAAGGAACATACTTAAAATTGCCAGTGATGTAGTGAAAGCGTGCCTACAAGAATGTTTTACTTCTAAGTTTCACAGCAATGGCCGTACAAAAAAGGGAATTACAGCTACAATCATTTCATGTTTTCTTGCTATATTTTGAATGTAAAAGTTGAAACCACACATGTTTAACAGATACGCAGTAACCATAGAAAGGCTCTGTTCGAAAACCTAGGACGGGTCCTCCAAGGACGCGGTCTACGTAGACTGGATCCTTCGAAGTCCTTGAAAATAAGGAGACCGGAAGAGTTTTGGCTGTAAATTCGACCAGGTCTACCCTTTGGCGGGTTTTACCGCCGTATGCTCTGTTGCTTAGCAACCGTGAACGTTGACACACAAAGCAGGAAAAGAATGAATACAGACGTTTTCAAAACTGTTTATTTATTTCTTTTTTATTGTGAAGTGAACAAAGACTACACTCACAAGAATCCAGAGTGGAATAAAGGTGCCAACCAGCGGGAGCAGGAAGTAATAAAATCAAATGTAATGATAGAAACATTAGTCAGTTAAATAACCTGCTGCTGTCATTCTGCACATCTCTGATGTTGCTGCTATTTTCAAATATCCATTACTGTAAAAATGTCCATAGCTGCATATTGGTTATTAATTCTCCAGTTTTATATTGTTAAAACACTTTACAGTATTTTATTGTTTATATTTTAACTCTTCCTATTATTTTATTCTTATACATTTTTCTAAGGTCCTCATTTGTGTGACCATTTTCAATAATCTTTCTGCTGCTGTAAATTTGCCCATTGTGGGAAAATAAAGAGATTTTCTATTCTATAAAAGGGGTAGAAAGATATAAATAAATCTAAACAATATATGTATAAAAAATATATCTGCAAAATCCCTAATATTCAACAACAAAAAATAGGAAGTTAAGCATATTGTGCAAAATAGCAATAAAAAAATTAAACTCCTATCAGATTTATAGTCCCCACCCTGCAAATATATTAGAATCTGTCCTTAAATTCCAGCCAAACCCATTTACACAGTAACAGATTAAAACCTTTAGATAAACCAAACATTACCGCCACATATCTGACTCAATAACCATTAAAACAACTATTTTCATTCATTTCAGACGGAACTATTCACAGAGTTGTATTATATTAAACTGAACTTCCAATTTTCACCACTGTTCGGCGCCAAGTAACCTTTCCTCTGATCACAGCTTGCTTGGTCTCGCAATGAATCCTGGGATATCAAATCGGGCAAAAAGAAGGACGCATTTTAAGGCCGCATAACGAGGAGTCTTGGAATCCGACCAGACCTCGGCGCCGCGCTATGACGTAATCGGCCTTCGAATCCGGTCTTCTAAGGATGCGTCCTAGGTTTTCGAACAGAGCCAAAGTCTGACCCTCAGCATGTGAAGGATGCATGTGAATGATATGACAATAGACATATGACAATTGAAAACAAGTGATCTGGCTCTATGCTCTCAACAGGAAACAGGTCATATCCTCTGAGCATAAAACGTTGTACTGTGAAACACCACAATGCTTTACGATGCTGAGCTGGAGATTTTTTCTAATGGCTCTGAATATTTTGCAGCAAGTTTATGTGATGTTGATAGAAGAAAAAATAATTCTAAAATTGACTTTATAATTTGGGCTTATTACAAGCAATTAATCACAAGCAATGTATACACACATATTATATACAGATAACCATATCCTAAGTGAACCATGTTATAAGTTGATATATTAACATACATATGCATAACTTGGTTAAACCACCGCAACTTCCTGTACCTCAATTTCATCATAGCAAGATCAAGATCAGTTCTGTATTTTCAGGTCTGCTACAGCTGAATGATGTCGTGGAGCTTTGGTAACGTTTGCATCTGCCTCTGCTGTACGTTTACTTGGATTTAGAAAATTTCATAAGACCTTTGGGGTTGATAAAAATATGTTTTAATTGGTAATGCTGTGTTACTGATTGATATAGCAAATGCAATCAAGCATGTTTTAGAATTTGAATCTGGAGGTTGGGTAACTTCAAACAAAAGCCAGAAATGTTATCATATTTTATACATAACCTTAACAATTTTATATTTTTTCATTGAAAAATAATTATTTTTGCAAAAACTTTCTTTTTATAATTTACCACTGCTACTAATAATATTAATGATAATAATGACACTAGTAATAAAACTTACTACTTAAACCTACAATAATAATAGCTTGGACAAGGGCTTGGACATATTACCCTATCAACAGCAGCAAATAAAACATACAACCAGAGGAGACAAAAAATCTAGAATGAATTATACAAAGCAATTTCTCTATTCAAAGGATATAGAACTATTTAAACGAAGATGTGTTCTGTTATTTTGCTTTCATCAAAAAAAAGAGAAAGATGAGTTGTTATAATCGTAAACGGTGATTCAGGAAATCCCATGTAGTTAAACAAAAACGATGGATGAGGTTTTGGCTAAATAAACAATAATCTTTAATATACAGAATATTTTCTTAAGTTTATTTCAGCAACTTAATTCACCAATCAAAACAAGTTATACAAATGAATTAAACACTGAACGGTGTTTTCAAGCCTTGACTTGTGTTATGTGTATTTTCCACAAAAAAAATTTAAAAACACAACAGTTAAGATCAGAAAGATACATGGAAAATGTGGGCTTAATGAAAATTATATTTATTACCAACTTAAAAGTTAATTTCAAATGGTACTTTTGTCTAACAATTATGCCTCTGAAGAAATTATATTTTAAAGTATTGGATATTAATGTACAAGGAGAATAAGAATGTTATTTGAAGAGAGGTATTTCACTTGAAGTGTGAGGAAAAAGCTTGAACACAAATAGTTTTTGCCAGTTGGCTAATACAGTATGAGTACATTTTGAAATCTTTGAGAAGTTAATCTTCTGGAACAGAATAAAATTTAAAAGTTAGAATGTAAAGTTTCACATGTCTATATTGGTTTTTATTTAGTGCTAAACATTCTACGTTTAATTTTTAATTTAAGTGTAAGTTCATAATTGCAAAGAAAATTAAAAGTAAAATCTTTCTTCTAATGTGATGAAACATAGCAACACTGAACGCAGATCTCTTGTTATAAATTGTAGATTTATTTTGTTTTATCTTATTGTTGAAAGGCACGGTTACTTAAAGCTCTAAACAATTTTGGCCCAGACAACTTGTTCTATATGAAAATTTTATTTATGTAAATATTCTTCTACAAAATATTTAGAGCCGTTTATTTGGAAGGTTGGAAGGTGAACCCTAGCTTTTCTTCTTTTTTTCTATTCATTAGTTGTTTTTTTATGTAGATCTATTGTGTTTTTAATAATAGAGAATCTTAACCAATAAACTGAGTTATTTTTAACAAAAAAATATTTTTTCAGGCAAAGTAAAATATTTATTTAAAATTCTAAATACAATTCATCTTTTTGACTGAGATTAGTTTTTATTTGATTGAGCAATATTGAGCCATATTATCTCAATAGTTTAGATGTAAACCACAAGTGCAGCCAAAACGATATAGTTTTATACCTTTCTTCTTTGAACTATACATGTACTCTGGTGAACCTTGCTGCATACATCTTCAAAGGTTACAGTATATTTGCTATGTTTCTTATGTCATGTTTTTTTTCTCTTTCTCTTGCAGTTGCTTCTTGTTGTGTAGTTAGTGCAGCAGCAGTGATCCATGAATCTGGATATGAAGGCAAAGGAGTTAATATTACTTGCCACTATAATTCCCAATATGAGAGCCATGAGAAGTATCTATGTAGAGGTGACTGTAACTATGATGCAGATATTCTGGTCAAGAGCACTGAACCACGGAGAGGTAGATACTCCATCAGTGATAATAAACAGAAGCATGTTTTCGTGGCGACCATTTCTTATCTAAGTGCTAAGGATGCCGGTAAATACTTGTGTGGCGTGACCAAGGTTGGATATGACCACTTCCCTTCAGAGGTATCATTGAAAGTAAAACAAGGTAATGAAGGCCTTCAATTGAATTATAAGGGTTTGATGAAGAATAAGTCTTTTGATTTGTTTTGAAGCTTTTTTCTCTCTATGGGAAAAGTTTCATGTTCTAAGCATAACCTGAAAACAAGCTGCAGTTGTCTTCATCTTTAATTCTAACTTTCTAACAGAGTGGTGCTGTGTGAAGACCAACAATATGAGTGGGATTATAGGAAGTCCCATTACGTTCTCTTGTCCTTATCCAACACAACACAAGAATAATAGGAAGTTCATCTGTAAGGGAGATCACCGTGACAGCTGCGCTGATGTAATGATAATTGGAAACAGGTTCACTCTGCAAGATAACGTCTCTTCGAGCTCTTTCACAGTGATGGTCACCAGGCTGGAAGAAGGGGATGGAGGAATGTACTGGTGTGGTTCAGACGCAAAGTGGACTGCAGGAAATTATACTAATATTCAACTGACAGTCGGTAAGACACCAAAAAACAGAAGAAAGAAAAAACCACAACAGATAAATAAGAATTTAAAGTCCTAGGGAAGTCATATTTAAGATTTAAATCACTCTGGCTTAAATATGTAAATGTACTCTTTATCAGACCATATTGTCCCAAAAGTTAGAATATCTCTACAAAAAAAAAAAATCCTGTCTTAAAATCTGTGTTGTTTTTGTTATTTAATGCAGGCCATTTAGTTACAGTATATGTCAGCTTGTACACCTAAATTTGGCCAATCATATATCAATGGTAATCTGTCAATAACATTTTTTTGGGCATAGCATCTTGATTCATATGTTGCAGTTAGTATAGGCAACGGTTGAAATAAGAAATGAGAATCATTTACTTTACCATTGAGTTACATCAATAGGATGGGCGTCTGTGTCTTCGGCAGGCGTAGAGCTAACAGGACTGGCAGGGCTGCGAGGCAAGGGCTCAAACATGTACGGCTGTAAGCCTTCTACACCAAACGAAGTTTCTGCCGCCCTGGCATGGTCTTCCACAACAACTTCGTCCGCGCTTTCCTCCTCTAGATAAAAAATGTATGACAGAGGAGACTCATCCACGACCTTCGACACAAAACTATCCTCCTCTTGCATGTTTCCACTGTCCATAGCGTTCCTTGACAGTGTCATTGCTAAGTGCTACTTGGTCCCAATGTAATTTCCCATTAGGAATCACCTAGCACTAAGTTGCTAACTGTTTAGCAAGATGCTTCGAGACAGTGGCCACAACCAAACTTGCTTGCGAACCTTCCGCCACAACAATCCCGACCCATCACATTCACTTTATTCACTCGTGTAAAATTGGTCATCACTCTGGAGAATTCGGAACTGCAGCCGTTGGAACAGCCGCTTCCCTACGACTTTAATAAGTTTCTGTTTTGTTTTTATTCTCTTCAGGAGGTTGAGAAGTTGATTGCAAATTGTGTAAAGACATTTATTCAGCTCTTTAGTCAGTGATCTGGTCACGTTTCTTTGTAGGCTGTTAAATATCTCACTTTAGTTCACATATCAGTATCATGATCATACCGCATGACTTGTGAAACTACTGTGTCATGCACGACTACTGCAAAGAGACTAAAAATCCAGCGGCAGCTTTTTCTGTTGATACCTACTTTGCAAAAGCTGGTAGATTGTCTTGAATACTTCAGAAGTTTTACAGTTTTTTTTGGATTGCTTAAGCAAGATTTTCAAAACAGGGCCTGTGTTTTCAAAACACTACACACAATTAGCACCACCACACCCAATTAGCAAAACACTACAGATCCTTTGCATAATTAAACACTACACTTTACAATAAAAACCACACTTTGTTACCATATGAAACTCACACGTTTCACATTACTATACTCTGTTTGCACAAGTTACACCCTGCTGTGATAAACCTAAAACACTTTTAGCACTTCTACTTCCCTATGATTAGAGTTGGCTACCATCAACAAAGTACAAATATAATGTAAATTCACCAAACACTACACAAGACCAATGTTGCAGACTGAAGAAACTCATTTATTTCTCAACACGCCCAAAATGTTGACATGGAGATTCATAATACTGTAACAAAATGTCACTTTACGTATTGTACTGTAAGTTTACTGTAAAAAAACAAAACAAAACCAAAACTAGACATTGTCTCTTCGCCTAGCTGGATCTAGCCAGAGAATTTCATCAACATCGCAGGCAATGTTGTCATTAGCAAGACACCTTGGAAACACCTTGCCCACGACCAAAATCTAATAAATTAGCAAAGATTCCCAAAGGAGTAAATCATGATAATCTAATTAAAATCAAAATAACTCCAATTGGGGAAAAAGTTAAAACAATTAAATGCGGTCTGTTTAACATAAGATCGCTTTCCTCTAAAAGTCTACTAGTTAATGACTTGATTTGTGATAATCACATTGACTTGTTTTGCCTTACAGAAACCTGGCTGCAGCAAGAGGATTATGTGAGCATAAATGAGGCAACTCCTTCAAGCTATTTAAATTTTCACATCCCCAGAAGTTCTGGGCGAGGAGGAGGAGTAGCAACAATCTTCCAGTCTGACTTACTGATTACTCCCAAAACAATTAATACCTACAACTCTTTTGAACATTTAACCCTTAATTTCCCTGATCCAAATTTCAAGGCAAGAAAACCTCTTCTTTTTGTAACTTTGTATCGTCCACCAGGTCCTTACTCTGAATTTTTAGATGAGTTTTCAGAGTTCCTTTCTGATTTGGTATTAAATACTGACAGGGTCATCATAGTGGGAGATTTTAACATCCATGCTGACATTGAAGGCGATAGCTTAAGAGCAGCCTTTAATGCTATCTTAGACACTATTGGCTTTGTTCAAAATGTGAATAGTCCCACGCATTCTCATCTTCATACTTTGGATCTTGTGCTGACATACGGCATAGAATGTGAAGAAATAACAGTATTTCCTCACAACCCTGTCCTCTCTGACCACTTTCTAATAACCTTCAGGATTACTTTAACAGAGTTCTCCTCCCCCAAAAGAAGGTTCAATTTTAGTAGATCTTTATCAGATAGTGCAGTTATAAATTTTAAAGAATCTGCTTTACTTTCTCTCTCCTCTGTGTCACTGAGCAGTGCTGCAGAGTGCAAAAGCTTAGCTTATTCCCCTTCACAGGTTGATGATTTTGTTGATGGGGTTGCTAGTTCTCTGCGTATTGCCTTAGACAACGCAGCTCCTTTGAAAATTAAAACCGTTAAAAATAGAAAGCTTGCTCCTTGGTTTAATGCAGAGCTGCGTACTTTGAAGCAAAATGCTAGGAAACTGGAGAGAAAATATCGCTCCACAGGCCTGCGAGAGTCCTTCCTAGTCTGGAAAAATGGTTTACTGCTGTATAAGAGGACCCTTTGTAAAGCAAGAGCAGCATACTTCTCCTCATTAATAGAGGAGAATAAGAATAATCCTAGATTTCTTTTTAATACAGTTGCCAAACTCACCCAGAGCCATAGCTCTGTTGAACCGTCCATTCCACCTGCTCTTAGCAGCAATGATTTTATGGGATTCTTTATAAATAAGATTGATCTTATTAAAAATAAGATCATAAGCACTCCTCTATCCGCGATTGTACCTGAGGTAGTCATGGAATCTGAACCGGGTTTAGACTGCTTTGATCCAGTTGAACTCTCTGAATTAGCAAAATTATTGTCTTCATCTAAGCCTTCAACTTGTATGTTAGATCCAGTTCCAACCAGGTTATTTAAGGAGGTATTCCCTTTGATCTCCTCCTCCATTTTAGATGTGATTAATCTATCTCTGTTACAGGGATATGTACCTAAAGCTTTTAAGGTTGCTGTAATTAAACCTCTGCTTAAGAAACCGTCTCTTGACCCAGATGACTTGGTCAATTATAGACCTATATCCAATCTTCCTTTCTTATCCAAAATTCTTGAGAAAGTAGTTGCCAAACAAGTTTGCGATCACTTCCACCATAATGAACTTTTTGAAGAGTTTCAGTCTGGCTTTAGAGCTCATCATAGCACTGAAACAGCTCTGGTGAAAGTCACTAATGATATTCTCATGGCCTCAGATAATGGACTTGTATCTGTGCTCGTCCTGTTGGATCTTAGTGCTGCATTTGATACAGTTGACCATAATATTCTTTTAGAAAGACTTGAATATTTTGTTGGAACTAAAGGAACAGCACTAGACTGGTTTAAATCTTATCTATCTGATCGAATTCAGTTTGCTCATGTTAATGATAGATCTTCAACACGCTCAAAGGTTACCTGTGGAGTACCACAGGGATCAGTGCTAGGACCAATTCTCTTTACTTTATACATGCTCCCAATTGGTAGAATTATTAGACAGCATGGGATTAATTTCCACTGTTATGCTGATGATACCCAGCTATATCTGTCTATAAATCCAGATGAAGCTAACCCATTACATAGATTACAGGCATGTCTTGAAGACATAAAAACCTGGATAACTCTTAACTTTCTGCTCCTGAATGCAGACAAAACAGAAGTTATAGTCTTTGGACCAGAGTCTCTGAAAAAGAAACTGATTAGCCAGTCACTTCATTTGGATGGGATTAAACTGATTTCAGATAATAAAGTAAAAAATCTTGGTGTTATTTTTGATCAGGATCTGTCATTTAAATCCCATATCAAAGAGGTTTCTAGAATTTCCTTCTTTCATCTGAGGAACATTGCAAAAATTAGAAATATCCTGTCCAGGGGTGATGCTGAGAAACTAGTCCATGCATTTGTTACTTCAAGGCTGGACTATTGTAATTCTTTACTATCAGGAAGTCCACAAACTGTAGTTAAAAGCCTTCAGCTGATCCAAAATGCTGCAGCCAGAGTCCTAATGAAAATTAAAAAGAGAGATCATATCTCGCCTATCCTGGCTTCTCTTCATTGGCTTCCTGTTAAATCAAGAATAGAATTTAAAATCCTCCTTCTCACATATAAAGCCTTAAATGGCCAAGCTCCATCTTATATCAGAGATCTGATTGTTCCTTATGTTCCTAACAGAGCACTTCGCTCTCAATCTGCAGGTTTACTAGTGGTTCCTAGAATTTCTAAAAGTAGAATGGGAGGCAGATCTTTTAGTTATCAGGCTCCTCTCCTGTGGAACCAACTACCAGTTTTAGTCCGTGAGGCAGACACCCTGTCTACTTTTAAGGCTAGGCTTAAAACTTTCCTTTTTGATAAAGCTTATAGTTAGGGTGGCTCAGGTTATCCTGAGCTATCTCTATAGTTATGCTGCTATAGGCTTAGACTTTTGGAGGACATAGGGACCCCCATTTCATCATTCTGCTTCATTCTCTCTCTGTTCTCCTATTCTGCAGAATCTGTTAGTTCAATCTCTAACCTTCTGCTCTCTCTGCTTTTCCTCAGAGTAGCTTTGCCTCGTCTGTTCCTGTTTGGCTGTGACGTCATCCTGGAAAGAAACATCAGCTGTGCTGCTTCTATCAACACCCTTGTTTATAGATGTTGGAGATCGGCCTGTTTTCCAGTGTGGTCCTTTTTCTCTGACCGTGACTGAGTGGATGTGCTCTCTTCGTCCTCTGGCATGGGAGCTGCCTTGGAGCTCGTCTGCCTGGCTGCGTGTTTCCTGGACGGGGCCGCCTTTTACAGCTGCTTTTTGTATCTCTGCTTCTGTCTCCTTGAACCCCAGTCGGCCTCGGCAGATGGCCGCTCACACTGAACCTGGTTCTGCTGGAGGTTTCTTCCTGTTAAAAGGGAGTTTTTCCTCTCCACTGTCGCTACAAGCATGCTTAGTGTGGGGGATTGTATTTGAGTCAATGAGTCAATGCAATCAACTGGTTTTCCTTAGATAAAAAACTTTGTATCAATTTGACTGTATGATCTGGTTGAACTGTAAAGTGCCTTGAGATGACATGTGTTGTGAATTTGGCACTATATAAATAAACTGAATTGAATTGAATTGATTTAAGCCAATGTAAAATCGATTATTCATAAAGTTGCACTTTCCACTTTACAGAGTGGTGCTGTGGGAAGACAATCAACATAAAGGGCAATCTGGGATATCCCCTTAGTTTTTCCTGCCCTCATTCACTAGGACATCAAGAAAATCTGAAGTTATTCTGCAAGGGGGATCAACGCAGCAATTGCACTGAAATGTTAAGGAGTCAAAGCAGATTCGTTCTGCAAGAGGAAACGTCCTCTAGCTCTTTTTTGGTGATGGTCACAAAGCTGGAAGACAGTGATGCCGGGACATACTGGTGTGGCTCACAGTCAAAGTGGAGTTTTGGAAATTATACCAAGATTGTGCTGTCCGTAGGTAAGGGTTTATTATTTTGGAAACACTGCACTTTATAAGAAACTAAATACCACACATGTAAAACCTTATTTATGTGATAACTGGATGGGGTTTAATAGAAAAAAAATATATAGGAAAGCATTTATTAACATTTCTAATAAGTACTACTGTATTATCACACAAAAGAGAACCAAAACAAGAAAGTGATATATGGTTAACATACATGTATGTGATATGATTAATGTTATTTCTTCGACTGTCTCTCATTCTTTGTCTTCTGTTTCTACCAGCTACTTTTTTTTGTATTTTAATCTGCATTTAAGAAGATAGTATAAAATTGAATCATGCAATAAGGTGGTGTAATTTTTTTGTAATTTCTCACCTAAAACCAAAAGAAACCCTCCAGCTGAAATTATGGACAACCAGGAGAGTCACAAAAAAAAAACAGCCCTTTAAAATCAAACGTTTCAATCATATTTCAAGCTCTGAAAAAGAGGACTCAGTTTTCGTGGTGGAGAGACAGTTAGGTTTCACAAAATTTTTATTTAAGATGGAACTGTAGAGAACGGCGTCGGTTCCTAATGCAGGAAGCTTTGCAGGGGTAGAACACAGGTTAGTGACCACGTCAACCTGGCAGAGGATGATTATGACTGTGTGAGTCACTAACCTGGTCTTAAAGTTCAGTCCATGGCCACAGGGAGGGGTTAGTTACAGCCGGTTGGCTCAACAAGACGTGGCAGATGTTGCCCAGAGAGTCCCAGATGCTGAAGTTCCAGAGGTCGGAGGACAAAGGAAGACAGGATAATACAGAGGCGAAGCCAAAGGCGGTGTTGAGGACGTGTTCAGGATTCAGAGCCAGGAGAAAAGAGATCTGAAGAGGTACCAAAGGGAAATCCAGATGGATCCAGAAGGAGTCTGAGGACAGGTCAGGCAAACAGATCAGAATGGGTACAGGCAGGCTCAGAGGTTCACAGACAGAACGGGTCAGGATCAGACAATCAGAATCACTTAGATACGCTAAAAAACTCTCTCTAAAGGCACAGATAATCTGGCACTGATGAATGGTTGAGGGCTAGTTAAATAGAGGCTGAAGTAGGTGGATCAGATGAACTGTAATTAGATCCAGCAACAGCTATGCAGATGAATGAGTAATCAGGAGTGATGCTATGAGATGAGCCGAGGCTTCAAGGTGTGTGTCAAAAAACGGAGGGGCCGTTTTCCCGATGCGTGTGTCGAGGCGTGAGGTTTGAAGCCTCTCTACCGTAATACTACGTGGCCACTTCAGGAAGTGCTTCGGACAGCGCAACAATATCAACAGGCATTTAAACAGCCTTAGTATGCAGTCAAGCAACATATTCTCATTATCAGTTCGTATGAAATCCTACAAAAAGTTATGCACAGTATTTCGTACGTTTTGGACGTTTTTCCTCGAAAAAACAGATCAGTGCGCATGCGCAGCCAGACAGACGAAAAAAGCAGATCCACGGACGGACATAAAACTGGGAAAAAGAGTGCAATAATTACTTCTTGATGTCTCTCACTAGGTTGATTGCATCTTAGGGTTAGGGTCAGGGTTAGGGTTAATTGTATGTTAAAGTATATGTTATTGAATGGTGCGTAACAGGCACATGCACAAGGATATCATGTCTCGAGGCAAGACGTACAAATACGACGAAATACAAACGAAATAAAAAACGTCCAAAACGTACGAAATTACGGTGCATAACTTTTCGTACGATTTCGTACGAACTGATAATGAGAATACACTGAGTCAAGATGTGGGAGTTTGTAGGAGAGTTGCTATCAGTTGGATAGAGTTTGGATATATTCTAAGAATAGATTGATTGGAAAAACAATCAATTTAGTTGGTTAAAACTGTTTTGGTCAGATTAAACAACGTATTGATCAAAATCCAAGCAAACCACTGGTTATGGTTGTAACATTAGTGTTAAGTAATATTAATTTCTACTGAGCAGTTACTGTACCATTGCTAGTGGCGTCAGTTGTGAGACATGGACTACCATTCCTGAGGTTTTGGGATCGAGCCCGATCTTATACATTTGAAAGTTGCGATAATAATTTGCATAACTTCCAACCTGATTAAAACCAAAAACTGTGGAGAAATTATTTTTGAATAAAAATGACTTTCACTTTTCACTTTCTCTTATTGCCCAATTTGCACAAACACGTCACTGTCTGCTTGAGCTTATTTCACTAAAATGGCAGAAAAACAGTGTACCTTAACTAATTGTTCTCTTTTAAGACATTTTACACAAAAAAACAACTTAAACAAGATTTCCAGGAGCTAAAGCTAAGAACTTTAATACCATGGTTGGTCTGATGTCAGAGCAGTGTTTTTATTTATCCATTTGTTTTAATCATGTCCTCACATTTCTAATGGGACAACCTATCCCTCTTTTTGGTTTTCATTTTTTGTCAAATACTGTTGCTAATTTTGCTTAATACTTGTAAAAGTCTTTTTTAATCTTTATTTCTTATTGATGTCAATTAATTATTCCTATATTTTTCTTTTCCTGTTTCTTATAGTGTTTAATGGAAAATATTGCTTTGGGTTTTGTTAGTTGCCTTTTGCATTGCATCCAGAGTTGTTATGTTAAAGATCTGTGTTTTTTTTAAATTGTATATCTTTCTGACAGAGTGGTGCTGTGTAGAGACAAAAAAGATGGGTGGCATTGTGGGATATGCCTTTGATATGTCTTGCCCATATCCACCACAACATTGGAATGATGAGAAATTTCTCTGCAAAGGAGAACACCGCAACAGCTGCACTGATGTGCTGCTGAATCAGAGCAGATTCACTCTCCAAGCTAATGAGTCCGCCAGTTCTTTATTTGTGAAGATCACAAAGCTGGAAGAAAGTGATGCTGGGACATACTGGTGTGGTTCAGATCCAAACTGGAGAGCTGGAAACTACACCAAGATTGAGCTGTCAGTAGGTAAAGCAGTATAAGCAATGTATGATTAGGAAATATACGTAAATCCTTAACACAAATATTAAAAACAAATTGAATGCAAAAAAATTGAGTATCATAGTGATATTCAGGCTGCTTTCTTTTTTAAATTTGGGATTTTTGTTAAATATTGAAATTATTAATTATAAACAATCGCTAAGTAACACAATAGAAAATAGTCAGATATATGTCGTATATATCGTATATATCTGGCTATTTTGCTACCTAGTATTTCAGAGTAATTTTATTTTTATCCATGATTATAGATGAGGTGAAGGCTAAAACAAATGCAGACTACATGCCAACCGTTTTTCAGGTGCTTTTGATTGAACGGACGCACATGTAAGTCTCTCAATTTTCTTTTCTTTCTTTTCAGGTCCTTCCACTCTTAAAATTGTGGTTTACATCATTCCTGCTCTCCTCCTTGTGCTTTTATTTATTGCAGTGATTGCAGTATATAAATGCACACAAAAAGGTATGCATTACATCCATAGGTAAATAAATATTTTAAACAGACATACTGTAACTGTAAGCCGCAATTGTAAGTTACCAAAAAAATTGTCTTCAAGGAGCCACAAAAGACAAGAAAAGGAGAAAGCTCGAAGCTCTACAAACGGTAGGTGCCTGTATTGACTATGGTGTTTCCATTTAGTCATTTATGATGAACACCTTTCTGTTTTTGATTATATTTCCTAGATTTCTGAAAGGCCAGAAGATTACGTTTACAAGAGCTCCAGTCACAATTATAAAGCTGTGGATTTCCAAGAACAAGTTTATGAAAACCTCAAAACAGAAAACGATATTTCCTCTGTTTATATGTAATGCAGGGCACCTCATAAAGAGTGATTTGTCATTTAACCCTGAGCATTTGGAATTTCTGGCTAAAGCTTCCTTTCTATGATATAGAGAACATATTATTTAAAACAACTCAAGCAAGCAAATGTTGTATAAAAAGTTTGCAATCATACAACTGTAGCCCAACTGGTAGTTTTTTTTTTTTTTTATAAACAACACAAATACAGTATGTGTTCATAAATAAGAGATTAGTAGAAACAACAACCCAATTTGAAAGCTCAAATGCAACCTTCAAATATAAAAATTTTTTTTAGCAAAGCTGTTTGGTATATCCATTTAACATGATTGTAGTTATAAGATGAAGTCTCATCAGTTTACTTCGGGACCAAAGCGGCTTGGAGCTTTATTTACTCTGCTGTGCCATTAAATGGACTGTAAATGTGAAAGCAGGCAGAGAACTTGCAATTATACCTTTGATCGGGAGTGTGAAGCTTTTGAAATAATTGCCAACGAATAAGAAGACAGTGGAACAGTAGAATAACATCATAATCAAGTATGATGTACATCCCTTTTTTATTGACTTCACCAACCCTCACAGTACCTCTCCAATAGGCCCTTTTATAGAACTTTTGTTTCCATTTTATTCACTTATAGCTGGAGTTGTGGCATGAAGCTAAGCCTCTGCAAAGTAAAAAGAAAAAAAAAACAGAAACAGCTATGCTAAGCATGTCCTCCTACATAAACTTTGAGCTATCTGCACAGTTTTCAGTTTGATCCACCCTCACCATTTTGGTTCTTAATATTTTGTGGCCAATTGGCAAACAGCAGGCCATACACATCATATGGCGGCCTTGTTTGGCCTGTCTTTAATGCCTCCTGAGCCAGGGTAAAAAATGTATCAGTAAAAATAGTCACAAAGAAGGTATAGTAGAATGGGGCCAGTGAAAAAGAGGCTATCATTGTGTCTTTCTGTTAACATGATGGCATAGATGGATTTAAACAGAAGCGGGAAGTAGGTTGTGATGTGTATGTTTTTTTGTTCTTTTATTTGTGAATGTATGAATTATGCAAAAAAATGCAATTATTTCAATGTTAAGTTTTGCAAAAGTAAGGAGTCTCTTTTTTTGTTGTTTTAGTATAAACTTCTGCTTCTCATTTCTTTTCTATCAGGATTTGAATAATACTTACATCAACACAAGCTTCTTTATATGCTCAGTATCTTTCTGGGTTTTGAAAATATTCCAAAGCCTTGACAAAAAAGAAAACAAATAAGCCCCTTTTACCACTTTTTGGACTGCATACTCACTGGCTTCCTGTTGGACTGATGAAGCACAACCCAACTCTATTTATGAAGCTCTATTAAGCAACCACAGCTGCCACAAAGTGCTATACATACCAAGTAAAGTTAAAGTTGTATAATAACATAGAAGTTTAACGGATTAAAACAAATATAATAAAATAAATGCATTAAAACAAATAAAACCATACAAACAGAAAGTCTCATGCTGTGTTAAAAACCAAGGAATAAAAATAGGTTTAAGACGAGTTTTAAAAACAGATAGTGAAGAGGCTTGTCTAATGAGGAGGGGGAGCTCATTCCACAATTTAGGAGTATCAGCTGAAAAAACTGTGCATCCATTTTCACCTCTGTAGCTCCAGAAGCAGCAGTTCAGCTGACCTGAGACACTGAGTGGGCGCATAGGGGTGGAGGAGCTCAGAGAGATAAGGCAGAGCCAAGCCATTCAAAGATTTAAAAACAAATACAAGAATCTAAAAATTAACTGTAAAATGCACAGGCAGCCAATGGAGGGAAGCCAGGATGGGGTAATGTGCTCCCTCTTATGTTCTCAAGTTAAAAGGCCTGCGCCTGCATTTTGCAACAACTTGAGACATGCGAGGGGAGACTGGCTCACCCAACAATAAAGTGCATTATATTAGTCCACACTGAAAAAAGTGTAACATGTGGCTGTTCATTCAAACTAATGACTTTTACTGTAAACTGGATAAAATTATTGATTTGATTGTGTAACTCATTCTTTTTAGATTTTGAGACATCAAGTTTGACTTACCGTATTTTCACGACTATAAGGCGCACTTAAACGTCTTTTTTTTTCCTCAAAATGTGCGGTGCGCCCTATGGTGCCCTATGTGTGTTGTAACTGCGACTTTTGAGACCACCTCATTGAGGAGATGATGAAAGAGTGGCTGAATGTAAGGAGACCAGCTGTTTTTTTTCCCACTCATCACCATTAATCTGTAACTCCATGCGTGCCCATCTCACAGCTGATGTGAAAAACATGGGGAAACAAATTAACGCTGTGCTCGCTGTTCAACCGCTCAACATCGGTGTGAACCGGACCCAGCAGGTGCAGCAGAAGCAGCGAGTTTACATGCAAAGTCAATGGTTGACGCGCATATAGGTGCAGCAAAAGGTCCCGCAGCGCGTTTTGGTGCAGCACGTCGGGAGCGTTTAAGCATCTGATGCACCGCCAACGCGCTGCTGCTGCTCAGATGGAAAAATTGAAGTTTTGCTGCTGGACGCGCCACATCAACCAATCAGAGAAGCTGATCTGGGAGCTGACAGCGAGACAGACAGCGCTCTGATGACATATGATATTAACGCAAATGAAAAGGCTGGGTGGATGCGTGGCTGAGACAGGTGTATGTGAGAAGACTAGGTGGTTTTTTCCACGCATCACCATCGCTGCGTGCCCATCTCACAGCCGATGTGAAAAAAAGATGAATCAAATGAACGCTGTGCTCGCCGTTATCCCGGGGGGTCTGACAAAGGAACTTCCACCGCTCGACATCGGTGTGAAGCGGCCGTTCACAGTAAGGCTGCGAGCGGCGTGGGAGCGATGGATGACAGACGGAGACCACAGTTTCATGATAAATGGAAGGCAGCGCCATGCAAGTTACGCCACCGTTTGCGGATGGATTGTAGATGGACTGTGTCTGCTGGCTCTGTTGTTCAAGCTTTCGCAAAAGCCGGCATTATTTCTGAGGAGCTGCGCTGCACGGAAAGTGACTGACAGCGAAGAAGGGGAAACTGGCATGTCTGATTTAGCGCAGCTGTTTTATTCAGAGGAATGCTGAGGATAACAGAGGATGATGACTTTGATGGGTTTGATTAATACTTTGTAATAAATACATGAATAAAGCACAATCATACTCAGTTTTGCTCCCGCTCTATTTTTCTACCTGAAAACTTAATTCAACAGCAGCGGGCGCGTCTCCTCCTCTTCAGCGCGGTGGCTGGCAGGTGTTTTTTCATCTAAATAATCTAAATCTTGCAGCTATATTTGCTGTGATCAGTGGGAATAAAGTAGTTTTAATATGTTTTTAAGTGAGAAAGGCCACCTGAAAACTTAATAATTGCAGTCAGTTCATCCAGATTATCTACGGTATTTCTGTCGGAGGCGCTCAGACCCCCACATACCAGCGGTGCACCGACAGGAGAAATCCTTTCGTTCACCGCGGCTGCTGGCAGGTGTTTTTCATCTAAATAATTTTAGCTGCAGGCACCAGGATACCGGTAATAAAAGCGAACATATTCCGTCGGCAGGTTTCAGGATTTTAAGTTAATTTAGGAGTGATCACAGCGCTGTGTCATCTGCGATGTGTCTGTCTCACGGCCAGCTGCCAGGTTTGATTAATACTTTGTAATAAATACATGAATAAAGCACAGTCATACTCAGTTTTGCCCCCACTGTATTTTTAAATACGCAGTAGAGGTATTTAAAGGTAGTAGAGGACATGTACCTGTATATAAAAAACGCGCCCTATAGTCCGGTGCGCCTTATGTGTGTGTTAAATACAGAAATGGGACACATAACTGAGAGTGCGCCTTTTAGTCCGGTGCGCCTTATGGTCGTGAAAATACGGTAACCTGAACTAAATACATATACAAAGGACACAAAACAAAGTTTTTGATTTCTCTCAATATTAATATATATCAATTTATGACCTGCAGGTATTATTTTGCTTGTTTGAGTCATATGTGAATTGCGCTTTTGCGCGCTGCAGTCAGAACATGTTATCAAGTCCAAGTTTTCGTCGTCTCCAGATCCTAGGTGGATTTCGCCCATTAATAAATGTAAGTAGCAAAGCACTTGCAAGTAATCAATGTTATGCTATAGCTGGAGTTTGGAGTTTTGTTCGAGTTAAATGTTGAATGCTGGCAGCAGGAGCCTCCAGTGTTATGTTATAAAGAGCAGGAGGGCTGTTGTGGTGAGCGTGTTAGCAAAGAATGCTAACTGCTCGGACAACTGTTACTGGGAACAAGGTTACTGGGACCAAACACCATCACTTCAGTTTTTTTTTTTTTTTTGTAAAAAGTTCAGAGTCAACCACACTGTAAAAAAAGTCAGTAAATTTACGGTAAAAAAAGGTAAAAAACCAACAGTTTTTGACCGTCGTATCCAAAAACATTGCATTACCGTAGAAATTACATGGAACTACCGTAAGTCGAAACTGCAAAGAAAGTCAGTAAATTTACGGTAAGAAATGGTAAAAGACCAACAGTTTTTGACCGTCGTACCCAAAAACGTTGCATTACCGTAGAATTACATGGAACTACCGTAAGTCGAAACTGCAAAGAAAGTCAGTAAATTTACGGTAAGAAATGGTAAAAGACCAACAGTTTTTGACCGTCGTACCCAAAAACGTTGCATTACCGTAGAATTACATGGAACTACCGTAAGTCGAAACTGCAAAGAAAGTCAGTAAATTTACGGTAAAAAAAGGTAAAAGACCAACAGTTTTTGACCGCCGAACCCAAAAACTTGCAAAAAACCCGGTAAAAATTACATGGAACTACTAAGTCGAAACTGCAAAGAAAGTCAGAAAATTTTTACGGTAAGAAATGGAAAAATCCGCAGTTACTGACCAGAATTTTCACGGGGCATTATACTGCCGTAGAAAATACTTTGGCATTATCATAACTAAAAAAATATATACCCCCTAAATAATTGTGACAGTCACGAATGTAAAAAAATTACATAAATATATTTGGTAAAAATATAAGTAATTGTAAATTTCTTAAAAAATGGAAATATTCCCAAAGCATTAAAATTACCCTAAATTTTAACAAAAGAAATTCACCAAAAATTTAAAAAATTTTTGGGCGGGATTTTTTAGATCTACAATGTAAAAAGCTAAAAAGCCCTGCAAAAAATTTTTTCCCCAAAGAACAAAAAGCGGTTTGTGAATTTTCCGGGTTTTTTTTTTAATAATGCCTTTAACCCCAAACGAAATTTTCAGAAAAAAAAACCGGGCCCATCGATCGGACCCCCCCGTTCCCAAAAACACCAAACCCCCACCCCAACCCCAACACTTATGTTTAAATTTGATAAATTAACATTAAAACTAAATGTTAGCCCCCTTCTTGAAAGAGCTGAAATTTTGGTTTTTCCAAAATTGCGTTTCCCCCAAATTTGGGAAAGGGCCCAAAAGGGAAATTCCCACCTAATTTTTCACTAAAACACACTTTTTAATTTACTCTTAAAAAAAAAACTACAACACCAAACCCTCTTCAAATCGGGCCCTAGATTATTCTCAACTCTAATCAAAAAAATTTAAAAACCAAGTGGGGGGGGTTTTTAAAACCCTTTATCTGATTTTAAAACCCTTTAAATTAAAAAAACCCAATTCTAGTGTTTTTTCCAAAAAACCTAAAAGTTGAAAAGTCACCCACATTGAAGTTTCAAAAATTTCCCACATTTGGTTTTAAATATTGCTATTGTGGGGTGGGGGGGGGGGGTTTTTTCCTGGGGGTTTTTTTTTTTTGTTTTTTTTTTTTTTGGGGGTTTGTTTTTGGGGGGAAAGTTTTTATTTAAAAAAAATTTTTTTGGTTCCCGGGGGGGGGGGGGGGGGAGGGGGGGGGGGGGGGGGAAGGGGGGGGGGGGGGGGGGGGGGGGGGGGGGGGGGGGGGGGGGGGGGGGGGGGGGGGGGGGGGGGGGGGGGGGGGTGCTGTTCCCCTTTGAAACTTTCACGGGGGGGTATTGCTACTACAAAAACCATTCCCAAAGTTACCCAGAAGGGAAAGGGAAAAAAAACCGTGAGGGGAAATGGTGACTGGGACTGCCCTGTATATTTTTTGAGGGAAAGTTATTTTTAACATCTGCTAAAAGGGCCCCCCCTTGGGGGTTGAAAAAAATCCACAAACCAGAAAAAAACAATAATGAAAAAAAATACCCCGGGAATGCTCCCCGGGAAAGGGAGGAGGCAGACCGGATCCAGAAATTGCCCAACCCAAATCCCACGGGCCCTGTATTTGGGGGACCCCTTTCTAAGATTTTTTTCATTTTTTTTTGTGAAAAATAGCGGGGTTTTACAGAAATGGAACTGTTATTTGTCAGAAAAAAAAATAATTATCTAGTTTGAAATTGCTGCTTGATCCTTCAGCATCAGCACAAGATTCTTTTAACTCTGTTCCTGTAGTGGTGCCCTTTAACTAAACACAAAAAGGGTCACTGT